AATAAATAAATATGTCAGCTTGCAAATTAATGAAGGCAGAGTCAGATTGTGAGAGACGACATGTAATTGGAACTAGCAAAGCTTCGGGCTAAGGTCGCCTATTTGAATTCCATGCAGAAACACACAAACATCAGAAGTCCAAATAAGTACTGGAGAGACATCAAAAGAACGCGAACATATCTCTAGCAATATTAATATTTTATTGCATCTTTAGAAAAGGAATATTTCTATCAGATGTCAACAAAAACTAAAAAGTAGCACATGTAAAGAAACATCGAAAGAAAAAGTATATAATTTTATTTCGTGTTGTGAAGCACCTGTTTACAACACTTCAACAATGCTTTTGATCATTTCCTCATCTATGTTTTTAAGTAGATATACAAGTTTCTGGAATGAATTGGTGATTTTAGCAGGGAATGCAATATCTGCCAGGATTTTTACCGTCTAAATAATATTTAGGGCAAAGTAGTAAGTAGTGTCATTCATCTTCAATCTCATTAAGCGAGCAATCTTCAAGTTTACAAATTCTATTTTCTAAAGGTGTCTTTGACTGGGTATGCCTTTCTTTCTCAAACTCTCTTCCTTGTTTTACATTTAGACATACTTATTCTTTGTTAGGTTTTTAATGCAGCGAGGTGAGGTTCAAAACTGTACTGTTTTTGAACTCTGCATACGTTCTCAATTTTTTTTTTTATATTTTTTGTCTCTAGAAATTTGTATGGTTTTCTTATCTTTTTCTTGTCGATTCTCTTCTTTCAATATATTTTACACAGATAGAATCCACGATAAATTTGAGTGTTTTTGTTCATTAAATGCTTGTTTCACCAGACTGTATTCGGGAAGATTTGTAATTCGTGAATATTGGTTTCGATGTCAATTAACAAGAGTAGTTATATCAGCATTACATGCTAATTTTACAGTGAATGTGTTTAGACCCAAATAGTTGCTTGTAAAATTTTAAGTGACTTTTTTTCAGTTGGGGTTTTATCTCGTTAACCATTAGTGAGAATTTCAAGATCCCAAATATCTGAACCGATTGGCTTTATGCAAGCCTTGAAAAGATGTATATATGTTTTACAGTTTTTTTGTTTTTTTTTAATATCGATTGTTTTAGTTTATATAGGTCATGAGCAGCTATAAGTATCATGTATTTCTTGTATCAGTAAAACGACCATTCGAGTGAATCGTTACGCCAAGGTAACAATATGAATCAACACTAGTAATGCAATGTTTTGAAATAAAAGGTGGATGGTAAATAAAACATAAATATATATCTTGCTTTAGGTTTAAAAAATTCTTCTCTTGTTTGCCACAGGTTAAGTCATCTGATTTTCTATCTTCATACCATTCTTTGAGTTGATATATGAAAAAAGTGCAAAAAATAAAATAAATAAATAAATAAATAAACAATACATTAAACACAGAAACTACGGGCGCAACGAACCCATGAAATGTTGCGTTTTGAATAAAATTGGAGCGGAGTCAATGTTTCGCGCATGATTGAGGGAAAGACGCAACCCATGGGCAGTGAGCGATTAGGATCTTCCGGGGGTACTCTCGGCACGACAAAGGTTTTGTCAAGGGAACCTGTGCGATAATAGTGTACACTGTGTCACGTGACCGATTTTAAGATGGCGACTACTTGACCGTTAGTTTTTACATCGCATTTTGTGTTACATAGCCCTATATAGGGTCACTTTATACTTGGCCCGCTTGGGAACCATTTTGACCAACCATGGCGCCGGGAGTGATGGCGACTGTACTATTGACACCTGTTTGATGCCTCCACCGTGTTACAGTAACGGCCATCATTGGATGGGATGCACACTAGTACGCGCTCATTGGAA